TTATTGCACACTAAGTCATTGGCACAGTGGATCTGGCGTCAGAAGCTCGAGTCTTCTGTTGCTTACTATCTCAATTACCCCAGTGAATTCACTAATTCAAAGAGCTCCTGCTTCTTTCTTTGTAAAGTATGAATACAGTATTTTACTTATCTGTCACCATCGGTTGTAGGCTTCAAGTTTTTAATTTCAACCTAATAAAAACCCAACTCAAAGAACCAAAAGGAACAAAAGGGATTTATCAGCTTAAGTAACTGAAAACTTCAAGGTCTGGTCTGGCTTCAGGTATGACACAATCCAAGGACTCAGGTGATGGTGTCCGATGCTGCTTCCACCTCTTTCCTTGGTTTTCCTCTGTGTGTCAACTTCATCCTCAAGCAGGCTCTTCCCAAGGGGAACTCCCCTTGCTTCTCAAGCCTCAAGTGTATCCAGCATAGCAAACCCAAGAAGAAGTCTGACTCATTGAATCCTGTGGAAACAAATGGCCATCCCTCAGTCAAGCGGCCAGAAGGCTGAGAGGCTCTAATATGTACTGTGATGGACACATGTCAGGGCCGGGACACATGCCCATTCCAAGCCAGGGAGGTGGAGAGGAAGAGGCAGAGGGTAGTGATGGAGGAACAAGGGGTCAAGCTCACCAAGCCCAGCTGGGGAGATTAGCACAAAGCAAAATGGGCCTGCTATCATCAGAAGAAAAGAAATGGAAGCTGAGCAGGTAGAAAACAACAGCTGTTCACTTCACATTGCATGGGCTTCTGGAGCAGATAATAGTAATAGCTTACATTCATTAAATGCTTATGAGGTGCGGCTCCGCTCTAAGCACTTTACTCTTTTTAACTCCTTTGAATCTTCTCAAGTGAGGAGTAGATACAGCTACTATTCCTTCCTTACAAATTAGAAAACTGAGGCACAGAGTGGTTAAGTTTCTATAGTCAAGCAGTATAAGAAACACCAGAACCCGACTATACTGGCTTTTACCCACCAGTCTATCCTCAGAATAGACCACCAGAGCTATGGTAGCCAGAGTTCTGGTATATAACCCCCTCTTCTGAGAGTGGGTGAGATCTGTGCATGTGACGCGACAGGCACTCTCTCCCGTGGGTTACATCATATGACAGGAGAGATGAGGTGGTCACTCCCAAGACTCCTTTGTAGTTGACAGGGAGTCTCTGGTTGGCTTTGGAGAGGTCAGGTCCGTGTTGTGAGGGGGCCACAGGGCCTCCACCTAAGGCTGGCCTCTAGCCGAGATGGTCCCCTGGCCAACAGCTGGCAAGAGAACAGGGATCTGTCCTACAGCTACTAAGGACTCCGTTCTGTCAGGAAGCTGAAGGAGCTCTGAAGAGGACCCCCCAAGCTCTAGAATCTTAGGCGACCCTGCTAGCGGTACTCAACCTGTGAGTACCGCTGCTATAGAGCCTAAGACCATCGGAAAACACAGATATTTACATTATGATTCATTAACAGTAGCAAAGTTACAGTTATGAAGTAGCAACGAAAATAATTTTATGGTTGGGGGTCACCACAACATGAGGATCTGTATTACAGGGTCGCAGCATTAGGAAGATTGAGAACCTCTGCTCGAGATGAGGATGTCTTGATTTCAGCCTCTGGAGGCCCTGAGCAGAGGACCCAGACACACCAAGCCCGGATGGCTCACCAATGGAGCTGAGACTGTAAATGTGTGTATGTTGTAAGCCACCGAGTGTAGGGGTAATGTTTTACACCAGAACCTCCCCTTTGGAGTCTTCACTTCCCGCCAGGCCCCTGCACACCCAGGCCCCTCACACCAGCTCTCAGGGGCGCTCCCTGTGCTGTGCAGCCTGTTATCCCCTGGGGGTTGTAAGCACCAGACACCCTGCTGGCTCATTTTGTGCAGCCAAGACATGACACAGTGTCTAATGTGTACGAGCTGTTCTGTAATTGGTGGGGGAATGAATGAAAAGGCCTCCAGTGCCTCGCGCCTATAAAACCTTATTTTGCTATGTGAACTGGTAGGCCTCGGTGGTGGGAGGGTGCTTGTAAGAACAGTTTGCCTTCAAGATCAGCCTAGGGCCCTCGGACAGTGCCCAGGCCAGACCTAACTTGGTGTTCCTTGTTAGCGTGGGCCTCCTATACAATAAAAGTAGTAGTAATTCACTCTCCAAACCCAGGTGAGGTTTCCCACTCCTAAGCCATTTTTCCCCTCCCACAGTTCACTGTCTTTTCAAACCATCACTCCTTTCTCATCTGGGGAGGCAAGCAGGCCTCAGAATCCCAACTCTGCTTACTCACCCACCAGCTGGGGATCCGTTCGTTATGTTGCTTCTCAGAGCAGGTTTCCTTGTCTATAAAACGGGGTTAATAATTCTTATGGCTGAGAGAATGTGTCCTTTGTTTTGGGAGGTAAGCCCCACAAATGTCACAGGCCTCTTCCCTTTAATGTATGCCCGTGTTCCCAGCATGCTCTGCACACAGTAAGTGCTCAGTAAATTCACGGAATGAACACTTTACGAAAAGAATTCAGCACAATGCCCAGCAGAGTCAACATTCACAAATGTCCGTTTTTATGACGTGCATTTTGCAAAGGAAGCAACTCACCTGGGGGGATATCTACCCAGGTGTTCTGTTCTGATTCAAATTCCACGGATTTCCCCATCTTATCCTTCAATGTGTAAATAAGGTAGGCAGACACACAGAGGTCATTCTAACCTCACTCAAAGCTCCCATTGAGGATGGGCATCCCTTAAATACAGCACTCCCCAAGAAAACTGACCCTGGCAAGCATTTAGGCGGGAGTTAAGGATTTCAACAAAACCAGGAAGGGCCAAATTCCAAAGCAAACAAAGTCGACTCATTCCCCCACCCAGGGGGAGGGTGTTCACTCCGGTCTGCTAAAGATAGAGGATGGCCCTCCCCGGGAACTTCCTGGCTTTTATTAGTCTGGAATCCCCAAGGTAACTTTTCAAAGGCTTTCCTCTCGAAAGTGTGGGTGTGAAACTGCTTTCCTAATCACATCTTGCGGGAGGATCGCCGAACATCTGTATATTATTTGAAAATGTAGCATCCGGTTGGGATGTTTGGGTGGGTGGGTGGGGGACCCTGCCTGGTGAGATGAAAACAGCAGGCGCCGTTAAAAACATACACACACACACACACACACACACACACACACAACCAACACGCCAAGACGGCTTTAAATAGTGGCAGAAAAATTAGGCAAAAATTATAAATGGCTAATTACCTTGGCTCCATTACATGTTTAATCAGAAACCCGCCTACCCCACTTTTTTGCACAAGAGTAAAAAGAAAAAGAGGGCGCATAAAAAAGTCTGAGCGATAAGGATCTTCTCACCAAGGGCCAAGGGCCAGAACTCATTACAGATGAGCGCGGTCCTCCCATTTCCCCGATCCCCTCTCCACGATGACTGGAGGCTGCCGCTCCCCCAGCGGCCAGGAGATCGGTGCTGCCCCGCGGGCCAGCTTTCACCTAGCCGGGGGTCGGAGGCCCTCGCCAGCGCCAGGCCGGAGTGCGGGAACCTTCCCTCCTCCTGCGGAGCGGCGAGTTGGAAAACTCTGCCACCGATCCGCCGTGGCGCGGGGACATGGGGGGCTGGATTTTGTCAGTTCAGGATCCATATCCCTCTCCCCCACCCCCACTCACCAGCTGTGGACCCGGCCAATGGAAGCCCAAAAATGAAAGAAAAAAAAAAAATCCTCTCGCTGCTCGAGTGCAAAGGCCGCTTGGCTTTGTTTGCAGGCGGGGGAACGGGCTGGGCTGGGGGCGCGAGCAGGGAGGGAGCCTGGCGCGCCCCGCCGCTGTGCTGCCAGGGCGAAGGGACACAAAAGGATACTCTGGAGCCCTAAAAAAGCAGCAGCCTACCGCCCTCCTCTCCTCAGACCCGAACTACGGTCCCCCTCTCCTGCCCTCCCAAGTCCCAGATCCGCCAGCAGCGAGGACAGGGAGAGACCTAGCCAAGCCCGCGCAAAGCACGGCGTCTTTAAGAGCCTGCAGAACCGGAATCTGGCAAAGCCTCGCCAGTCCCGGAAGGCAGAGCCTCCCTTTCTCTCTTTTTCTCCAAGAATGGGACAGGGCTGTCCCCCTCGCCTGCCCCGGGGAGCGCGCGGGAAGGACGGGGCCGCCGGACCCTTCCGAGGTGGTGGCAGCAGAGCGCGGCCGCTTTAAGAACGTGGAGGGCGCGCGCCCGCAGCTCTGTCTGCGCGCCCCCGCCGCGCGCCCCCAGCTCGCGCGCCGCCGCCGCCGCCGCCGCCGCCGCCGCCGCCGCCGCCGCGCGCCCCCTGCTCGCTCGCTCTCTCCCTCGCCGGCTTTAAAGTCTCTGCCAGGATCCATGCTCACATGTTACTTCCTGTATGGAGGCATGGCCAGCTTCCAGCCCCGCGCTCCCCGTTCCTCCCCAGCCTGCACCGGAGCCACAACTTTCAGGAGCATGGACTGAAGGCGCCGCGGCCCCGGCGTTCCTCTGAGATCCTTTGTGTTTTCCTCCTGCCGGTTCTATTTTGGGGGGGCTCTTTGCTCCCCCCTCCTCCTCTCTCCTCTCTCCTCCCCTTCCCCGTTCGCAAACATGCCTCCTTCCTTCGCGGGGCCCTGGAAGGAGCTGCCTGCCTGAAGCCGGAGACGCCGCGCCGCGCTCAGCCCCGCCGCCGCCCGCCGGCTCCCGGGCTGCGCCGCCGCCTCCACTGGGGGATCCTCGGCCGCTCGCCGCCGCCGCCCGCGGTCCCTGCCCGCCCGCCCCGAGCCCCGGGCGCCGCCGCCGCCGCCCGCCGGCTGCTCGCCTGGCTCGCTCGCTCCTCTCCTTCTTGATCGGAAAGCAGCCCTTCTCCGCCGAGGATCGTCCCCAGCGTGGCTCCGCGTTCCGGGCACTTTTTGAGGTTTTTTCTTTCCTGGGGACACTTGGCTTCCCGGATTCCAGGGGGACTCGCACCGCCGAGCGCCGGGGGCCCGGAGGACGGGCGGGCGAGCAGGGGAAGAGGAGCCCGGGTGCAGCGGAGGCTCCCACGGAGGCGAGAACTTATTCAACAAGTTTACCCCCCTGCCGCCACCCTCTTTTCGATGTGCGTTTTCGGACATGCGGAGGTTACTGGAACCGTGTTGGTGGATTTTGTTCCTGAAGATCACCAGTTCCGCGCTCCATTATGTGGTGTGCTTCCCGGGTGAGTGGCGGCCGCCCCGCCGGGGGACGCGGCCCTGGCCGGCGCGCGCGGGGGGCGCGGAGTGGCCGCGGGGCGCGGGGCTCGGGCGCCGGTCCCGGGGCCCCCGGAGACGGTGTGGGGAGGGGGGCGCCCGGGGAGGAGAGAGGGGTCTCCTCCGCTCGTTCCAATGGCGCAGGGAGGCTTTGGTGGCGGAGGGTGGAAGAAGGGGCTGGCCGGGGAAGGGGGACAGGGGCAGGAGGGGTCTGCTCTCGCTCGGGTTTGGGAGGCCTGGGGAGCCGGAGTCGAGAGAGAGAAAAGGGACTTGTTCTGCCGATCCGCCGCCGCCGTTCGAGAGAGCTCGGTCTTTGGGGCTGCTGGGGGAGACTGGGACCATGGGAGGACGCCTCCGTGGGTTTGAGGGGTCCAGGGTGCGCCCCTCGCTCAGGGTCTTAGAGGAGCTCGGAAGGGGGGGTGGGAGGGACTTGGCTTTGCTGCCCAACAGCCCTTTGGAAAGGCTGGGTCCCTGGGGAGGGAAGCTGGAGACTGGCCGTGGACGATCGGGAATGTTGGGGGCAGGCTGCATGCTGGTCTCGGGGGCTGGCGCGCGGGGCTGCCTTCCGGGGCCGGCGCCGGGCAGCCTCCCCGGGCGCGGGGGGCCTGGGCTCGGCGGGCGGGCGGGAGCGGGCGGTTTAGGGAGATCTCTGGCTTCCGCAGCCCCGACACGCGGCCCCCTTCGCCCCGAAACTCTGCTCGGCGGGGCTGCTCGGGTCCGGGCGCGGGGGTCAGGGGGCGTCGGCGACTAGGCTGCTGCTCTAGCCCGGGCGGATTTTTTTTCTTTTTTCTCTTTCGCGCTCCTGCCTGCCTGCCTTCGTCTCTGCCCTTTTGCAGGCTGCTCGCGGCAGGCAGCCCCAGCCCCGCTGCTTTCTGGCCGGGCTGAGACAGGGGCTATGGACCGCCGTGGGAGATAACAAGTAACCGCATGGAGCAAGCAGGGTGCCCGCTGCCAGCCCTCCGCCAGCAGGCTTCCCCCCAGCCCTCCGCCAGCAGGCTCCCCCAGCCCTCCCCCTGCAGACTCCCCCAGCCCACCTCACTCTTTCCCCTCGCGGAGGGCAGAGACCATCCATCCGCCTCCTCTGCCATCCTGCAGGCCCCCGGGCTGCAGCCCCGAGCTCCCTGAATCCGTCCAGCCGGGAGCATCCTCGGGGCGGAGGCCACGGTCTGTGCCCTCGCTGGGGAAGGGGTAGGAAGGAGGGGGCGATTCGTTTTTTTTTTTTCTTTTTCTTTTGCCCTTTTGTCCCTAGGAGGCTCTTTTATGCCCCTAAGAACAGAGAACGCCTCCTGTCTTTCTGCCTTCTCATCCACCAGCTCCACGATACCTGGAGGCGGGCGTTATCTGAAATTAAAAAAAAAAAAAAAAGAAAGGAAACGTGACTCGATGTTTTTCGCTCCCCCTGGTCACAGCCGCCTGCCCCCGGGCGGCCGGAGCGCTCGGCTTTGGTGCAGAGGGTCCCCCAGCTCCGTGGGGCGCCCTACAGCGGGCGCGGGCGCGTGTGCTGCCCCTGGGGACCAGGAGCGAGTGTCTCCTTTGCAGGCGCCGGGGCGGCCTCGAGGGGCAGAGAGGCCGAGAGGCAGAGCACCGTCCTCCCCGGCCCCCGCCGTACCTCTGCGCCTTCTCCTGCCCCTGGGGCTGCACCGAGCTCAGCCACGGCCCCGAATCCCAGCTCTTTGCCCAGAGAAGGACGTGCGTCCACACTCGCCCTGAGGCCCCGGGTCTGCCCCCCGGAGCCCTGCCTGCATGGGGCCGGGGCGGTGCGGACGTGTCCCCTTAACCATGCCCTCTCCCCCTCAAAGGCCACTGCTCAGCGGCGCCCTTAGCCGTCCTCTTTCCAGACCTCTGGCTGTGGGCTTGCTGCTGAGCGAGCTCAGGTGCACGCCGGGGTCTGCACGGGTCACCTGAGCTTTACATGGGTCACGCGTTGCTGGGGGCAGTGGGGGGCAGTGGGTGGGGGGCAATGGGGGGCAGTAGGCGAGCAGCCTGGCGCATGAGGAGGAATTTTTAATTCCGCTCTGGCTTCTCCTTACGCTGGGCATGCCATGCCGTCAGCGAGTGGGCCGGCCGTGGTTTTCTCGTTCCTGCTCTGAGGACGCTTGGAAGCCAAAATGGGACTGACTGCCAGTCATGCCGCCTCCGTGGGCTCGCACAGTTCCCGTCGTCCACATTTTCTGTCTGTGCCCACATCGCGAGGTAAATGGCCCGTTGCCTGCCCCGGAGCCGAAAGGTGGCGAGAAGGGACAGGGCAGTGGTGTGAGACGCGCGGAAGCGGGGTGGAGGGGTTAGGTGTGTGTGTGTGTGTGTGGGGGGTCATGGTTTGGAAAAGTGGGAACCAGGCAAAAAATGTCAGAGCCTTGGGGGACTCCGGCTTCCCGTTTCCCGAAGGTGCGGTGACGCCGCTGGACCTCAGGGGGCGCCCCCGAACCGCTGGTCGGGCTCCGTAGGCCCCGGAGGGAGCAGGGATGGGGCGCGCGCAGCCCAGTCCCAGGCGCCCGGGTGCGGGTGCGCCCCCGCGGGGACCCGGCCTCCCCTCCGCTGCTGCTTCTGCTCCGCTCTCAGCCCCGGGCAGGCTGGAGCTCGTTTTGGGGGCACCTCTTTGCCCCCCTTACTTGCCGTAATCTGGGAGGCGTTTACCTGCTTGACACGAGGGGTAAAAACGCTTCTGGTATTTAGGGTTCTTGTGAGATTGTAACCAACATCCCTGGTTGTTATTTTGTTTGTGTCTCAGGAACTCGCTCACTTTTCAGCTGCCTCTGAGCTCTCTCTCGGCTGCTGTCTGTCCTCGGGGGCTGCAGCTCGGGAGGGTCTGGGAACAGCCTGGCTCGGTGTGGTCCCAGCAGATCTGGAAACAGCAGCGTGGCGGCCACCGAAGAGTCTGTATGGCAGGTGTGGGACGCGCGTGGCTGTTAGTGTTTCCAGTGGTATTTCCACTTTCCAGAACAGAAGTGTTATTTAACACGATATAGTGCGCACCTAGTACATTCTTTTCATGCATCTCTGAACAGTACTCTTATTATGGGAAAATATAGGAAAATATGATGGACCCCGAAGGACCCCCAGCTCCATGATCAGCTCAGTCTTCCCTCTTTCGTATCCCCATATCCTCCCCATACCGCCTCCTTTTAGAGACTTCTAACACCTGGTTCATGTAAGCACTTGGTATCTTTTCGATAATCACTGAGAATGTAAGTGCCTCCTACAGGATATAAAATATACATCCTGAGAGGGTTAAAAACATTTTATGTATTTTACATTCTTAAGCTCTTCAGCAGAAAGTAAAAAAAAAAAAAAAATTTTTTTTTAAATTGATTTCTTCTCTCTTTCGGTCCTTGGAGTGAAAGCCTTCTCTTTGACTCTGATATGTTTTGTGCCCTAATTAGATTACATCCAGGAGGCTGGGACTGGAAACACTTCAGATGGATAAGCTCCGCTGTATGCTTTTGGAGATGTCAGAATGGGAGGACCCGTGATTGATGGCCGGTGTCTCTCCCTCTAAGCTGTGTCTGTGTATTTGCATGCACATGCTTCAGTCCTGATGGGCATCCTTTACGGCCTTCTTAGAAAGATGGGAGAGGAATGTTTGTAAGTCAGCTGTCTTACTCACAGGAAAGGGGGGGGAGAGAAGAGAGAAATCATGCAGTACCCCTCCTTAAGAGTTTTGTTTGAAAATAAAACATCTTCATCCAGTCGTGAAACTGGCTCTTCTGGCACAGCGAAGTAATAAAATCTTTGATGTTCCCTTCTAAGCATTACCGATGTGGTGAAATTAGCATGCTGCTACCTAACGGGTCATTTTGGAAATCGAGGAAGCGGCAGTGGCTGGAAGCAGAGGTGTTACAAGAGAGGGTGGCTGAAATGAGAAAAAGAAGGAGCCAATCGTGAAGCTGTGAGCATTTCTCCTTAATTATGGACCTGTTTTCACTGAGGAAAAACTTGTTTATATGATGTGGCACGGGACAGGGAATGCTGATGATTTTATGCAGCCACACAGAACAAAACCCCTTTCGGATAGACTCATCCTTTTCTGGAAAACTCCCAAGTTGATGTAGTATAATCAGGTACCTATCCATGCACCAGTGGGAATGAACTTTCTTGCCATTCATGTAAGATCATTTAAGATGCCCCAGAGCCATTGTTACTAAGCCTCCTCCCCCCCGCCCCCCCCTTCCTCCCCTGCCCCGATTTCCTGGAAACTCCATGATCAGAAGGACAGTCTGGATCCTTACTTGAGCCGAATCTATACGGAGAAAGCAAATGAAGTGTTGCTAGTGCTTGCTGGCTTTAACCTCTTCCCTTCTATGGTGAAAGGTTTCTCTCTCTCTCTTTTTTTTAATCCGAATTTCCACTCGGCATTTCACTTGGAGATGGCGGTGTGGGTGTGCATTCTGAATTGCAAGTGTAAAAAGTTGACGGCTAACACTTTGGTCCCGGGGCACATTTTTTTTTTTTCATGTGGTTCATTTCACAAGTCGGAGCTTGTGGGAGAAATTCAGAATGCCGAAAATCATCTCCAAAGTGCTGGATGTCCTCCCCCGTGAGCTCTTGGCGTGCTTGGGTTACAGGTTGACCGCTGTCAGATGACTGGTGGTAATCATTGTAACTGCGTGTTTGGCTGGATCTGTGGAGAGAATAAAATGCCTAATGATAAAGGAAGCCCAGGAAGTGTGCCCCGCTCCCTGTGTAGGTCTCCTTGGGAGGCCGGTCCAGGCAAAGCTGGCAGCTGCTGCCGAGGGGCTCCGAGAAGTGGGAGAGCCTGCCCCCCTCAGGCACCAAGCGCTTATGTGGAATCCCGCAGCAGCCACTGAATTGGTTCCAGAACGAGGTTGCCTGGGCACACGGTTAGGCCTTCGGTAAATATTTGCGAGTGATTAGAACATCTGATATCTGGGCTTCCCTGAGCATTGGGAGTGACCCGCTCGCTTGCAAAGAACCAGACACATGGCGATGGCCGTCTTCTGTGTGCTTACGA